GGCTGGCGTTGTCGGGTAGGTGGGGGAGAGGAAATGCTAATTCCACTTCTGGGAGAGCATGTATGGGGGCACCCTCCTTAGGGTGTGTGGGGCTCAGTGTGCTCTGTGGATAACGCTCATTCTGGTGGCCCGCTGCTGTCCTCCAGCATGCATGCAGGCAGGGTTCTCGTGCAGCAACGAGCTTGTTTTTCTCTGTGTCAAGAACCCCTTTGCAGTTAATACCATAATGAGTTGAGATGGTGAAGTGCACTGTCTCATTCGAGCTGCCTGCAGTTTCTCTTCCTCCTTTTTCCTGTGATGATCCTGGAAGTGCTCTGTGCTCTGCTCAAATACCTCAGCCTCTGGCCAGACTTAAACTCCTGTATCCTTCTGTTTCATAGAATCATAGAATGCTTTGGGTTGGAAGGGACCTTGAGAGATCATCTAGCCCAACCCCCCTGCAGTGAGCAGGGATTGAACCCGTGACCTTGGCATTATTAGCACCACGCTCTAACCAACTGAGCTTCACATGTTCTTCTCTATTAATTTCCACTGTGGCCCAAGACTGACTTCTTATAGGTTTCCTCCTCCTTGTCTCCTGCCAGGTGCTGAGAAGATGGCCTCCCCAGGTGCCCCAGGGACCCGCATGACATCCACAGTCAGTATCAACATTTCTACCCCTTCCTTCTACAACCCGCAAAAGAAGTTTGCGCCCGTGGTCGCCCCTAAACCCAAGGTGAACCCCTTCAAGGCTGGGGGCACGTCAGAGTCATCGCTGCCCCCACCTCCTGGAGCTGGCGCCCAGCGTGCTCAGATGGGGAAGGTGGGGGAGATTCCATCAGCATCCCCATCCCTGCTGGCAGAAGGTAGGTGAGGGATGGTGTGTTAGATGTGAATATGCATTTCTAAATTCTCAGGGTGCGAGGTCTGTAACTGGGGTTAACATGAGAACAGGGCCATAACTGCTGTAAGTGAAGGATACTCTTGCTGTAGAGGCTGGCAGGTTCCAGAATGAAATGAAACAATTGTAAAGGGATCTCAAAATATGTCATGTCTCCATTAGAAGAGGAGCTGGGAAGGCAATCCTGCATTGCACTGATGCTGCCGGAATGCATTGGGTTTTTCATAATATTCCCTGAGTGCATAATTGCGTAACTGCAGTCAGTTTCTGGCCAGCATGTCTGAGACCAAATATGTTGCAGGGAAGTTGACTCTGGTGGTGATGAATCATGCTATTCTCCTTGTTGCTTCATCTCAGCTCAAGTTGGTTGTCTCTGACTGTAGAGATCCTTCTCATGGACTCTGCAATTGCCATCTTCGCTGCTGGAGATGGGGAGGAAGAATAATTGCATGAAAAAATGGTGGAAGCTATCCTGAACAGGAAGTGAGACTTAGAGTTTGTATGGCTTGTAGAGTTTTATACTTTTTCCTAGTGGTTTGGGTTGGGTGTGTTTTCCTGTGTAGAGTGACTTCTTGCTTTAGTGTGGTTTTCTTTTTCTTTTTTTTTTTTTAATTTTTTTTTTTTAATTTCCTGTGGTGATGGGGTGGTTTTTTGTTTCATTTTTGGTTGGTTGGTTTTGTGTCCTCTAAGAAGGAGAAGGTTCCTGGTTGTGTGGCTCCCTAGTTGGAATTGATCAGCATGGGGCCACTGGACATTTCCCTAGCAACCTCTTGCTAATGCTTGATGCTGCATATTACCCCAAGACTCTATGAGGCTGCACATCAGTTGGGACTCATGTTCAGATAATGCTAATTGCTGTTTTAAATTTCTTTCCTTCCGCTATCTAGCATAGTCTGTGCAACACTGATGTTTTCTAGGTTAGCATGCTAAGTTAGTGAGCAGCTGACCTGATGGTAGAAAGGCTGGTCCTGTGCTCAGAGAAGACAAATGATTAAGCCATTTTTTCCATTTCTTGAGTCACAAAGGCCTCAGCCTGTTGGTGCTTCTGTCTCCTAGAATTGTACCAGCTAACTCTGGTAACCTTTTTCTCATACATTGTTGGCTGGAATCTTGTGTCTGTAATCCAAGGTCCCATTTTAGGCTTTGTGATTTTCTGCTGTAGTTGTGTGGATTAGGGATGTGTCTTGTCGGAAGGTCTCAAACTGACACAAATACATTACCCAAAGTATAAAAGTAGATGGATGTTAAAAATTATTTTTCAATATACAGTGCGAGTGGAGGATTGGGTGTTGTTTACTCCACTTCTCCCTTCCTTATAAAGCTTATTATGGAGGAACTAACTTGACAGAAAGATTAGCAGAAGAACCATTCATCTTAAGATGCTGTGTCACCATTGGGTGAGGGCTGCCATCAAGACATCTGAAGTACAGATGAACCACCAAAACTCAGTCATGAGAGAAATGCATCTGATTGAAGAGATGCATCAGAGAAGGATCCAATCCTTCTCTCCCTTTCCTATGCTCTCCAAACAAACAGTAATATAACATAAAGGCATAGCAATTGGTCTCTGTCTTAAATGACAGCATGGCTAAGTTAATATTGCTGTAGGAATGTTATATTTAGTATTGATCATTCTATAAATCTAGTATAGTAACTTTGTGGGGAACTTCTTTGTGTGAATAATTCATAAAACAGGCTTTTTGTACATCTGAAACAATGTCACAGCAGATCAGGGCTTCGTTTCTGCAATATTCTTTATCATTTCAATAAATCAAAAGGCAAGCATATACAAACTTGATCCCAAACTGTAGTTTCAAAGAAAAAAATACCAGCCTAGTGTTACATCCTCCGCCCCGACAAGCAGAATTTCTGTGGCACAAGAAGGCTTGAAAGAGGTGCCTGCATACCAGTGCAGTTTATGCATTCCACTGGCTAATAAGATTTCAGCTTTCGTTTTCTGAAAGGGCAGTATCATCTCCCTTAGGTTACAGATGAGAAGTCCTTATAAAATCTGTCGACAACAGCTGAATATAAAGATGAGACAATTCGATTACTGCTGTTAAAAGTTGCACATGGAGTAGCAGGAGTGAAAAACATGGTCTTTCACCCTACTGCTGGTTGGGGCTGGGGCTAACTAGGAAGAGAGGTGGGTGTTCAGAAAACGGGATGAGGAACTTATGTCTCCTTGTCTTCAGTGTTCTTTGCTGCTTGGTTGCTAAGAGGACATCTTCTCCCATATATGGTGAGGGGAAGAGGATTCATATTTATTTGACTGAATTGCTATAGAAAATGTCTCTTTTTGCCTGTTCTGTATCTTTGGCAAATATGAATAGGTGGAAGCAATGGGGTTTTCTCCTAGGAGATTAAGGCCCTCTGGTGCTTTTCAGCCTGCTTAAAAGGGTTCTGTAAAATTTCTCATGTCCTAGTCTGTATTGGGTATGGGAACATTTTAGCCTCCAAAAGGAAAGCTGTTTTAATCTCCCAGAAAAATAAAGCCGTTTCAAAGATTCCTCATATGCCTAAGAGGTAGTTGGTCTGACTTGGGGTTTTTTTCCCCCCCACTTGTTTCTTGTAGTGCTTACTAGCCAGCTGCGAGGTGCTAGCTTGTTTTCCTGTAGTAATGCAGGCTCTTCAGGGTCCTGGGTTGTCTGCTGGCATTCCTTCTAATGCTGCTCTGTATTCAGCAATCTGAGCCAGTTACTGGTGAGAGAAGTATATGCTAGGGACCAAAGAATGAGAGGAGGAGTGGGAAAGCGCATAGTGGGACATGTTTCCCAATTGTACAATAACTATTCCCAGGAACTAATTGCAGTAGCTGCTGAGGAAAGTTTATATGATAGCAAATAGCTTTGGACAAGGTGAAAGCCAGCCTGTGGAGCTCAGTTGTCCTTGATGGGTGCTGGGGTCCCCTGGGTACTGGGGAACTACTTGCTGTAATATCTTCAAGACCCCTTCTGGGGTTTGTAGTGGCTAAGAGCAAGAAATGATCCAAACTTGCTTTCACTCTCATTCTTCCCCATAGAGCTGCCGCTGCCACCTCCTCCCCCACCTGGAGAGGAGGCAAGTTTCTCCTCAAACTGTGCTTTCCCCCCACCCCCACCACCTTTTGAAGAGCCTTTTCCACCAGCCCCAGAAGAAGTTTTTCCTTCTCCTCCTCCTCCGCCAATGTTTGATGAAGGGCCTGTGAGCAAGGTACCTGCCACACAGGTGAGTGAGGTCAAGGGAAGTATACTTTCTTGTGATGCTTTGTGACTTGGGACAGCTTCTCACTACTCTCTGAACTCAGCACCAGGAGGCCCTGAGGTCTCGGAAAGCAGAAAATGCTACCACCCCATGGACCAGCATAGGTTAGGGTCAACTGGCCAGGCTACATCTCTGCAGATGAAGGACCTGGGTTTCCTGTTGGACAGTGAGTTGAATGTGAGCCAGCAATGCACCCTTGTGGCAATAAGGCCAACCACATGCTGGGCTGCATTCGTGAGAGTGTAGTCAGCAGGACAAGGACAGTGATTATTCATCTCTCTTCAGTGCTAGTGTAAGGCTGCATCTTGGAGGACTGTTTCCAGTTGGGCTCCTCAGTATAGTAATAAATAAATTCCTCCCCAGAGGAATACTAAACTAGATGCAGTCCAGCAAAGGGTCATAGCAATCATTGGGGGTTGGAGCACGTGATGTGAGAGCTGGGTTTGTTCAGCCTGCAGAAGAGGAGGCCAAGGCAGAGATCTAACTTCAGTCTGCAATACCTAAAGGAGAGCTGGAGAGAAGACAGATTCTTCTCACTGGTGCACAACAAGAGAACAAGTGACAATGGACACAAGTTTTGGCAGGAGAAATTCCTGTTGGACAGACGAAAAACCTGTTCCCCTCCAAGGGTGGCTCAACACTGGCACAGGTGCTGGGGAATCTGCATCCTTGGGGATGTTCAGAAGTCACCTGGACAAGGCCCTGAGCAACATGGTGTAGGTTGGGAGTTAGCCCTGCTGTGAGCAGGGTGTTGGACTAGAGACCTCCAGATGTCTTTTCCCACCTAAATCTGTCAGTGAGTTTCTTTGGGCTGTGCATTTTCCCACTGTTTGTAGACCTTGGAGGCTGTGCCCTGTTCATCCTCACCAACCTGCTATCCACTCAAAGCAAGGAGCAGATCTGTACCACAGTCCAAAGTGTCAAAATCTGGTATTGTAAGGGCATACACCGAGTTCTCTGGCTGTTCCTGTAACGTGCTCTGCTCCCTCTTTCTTCATGGATGGTGGTATAGGTACGTGGCAAGATGAGCAGCATTGATCTTGAGATTGACTCACTGTCCGTAATGTTGGATGACATGGAGAAGAATGACCCCTTCAAATCCCGGGTGAGCTCTCCAGAATGTTGCAGGTGGAAGGAGAGAGAACGGTTTGCTGAACGGAGGTAGTGAGAAGGGTGCTACTGAAGATTAAAATGTCTGGATAAACCATAGCAAGAGAGTGTACGTGAAGCACCAGAAAACATAGATCCTGCAACTTGTCAGGACTGCTAAATATGTAACAGTGTGGGAACTCTTAGCCTTGTGGGTCTGGGATAGCTGCTGACTTGTTGCTATAGACAACGTATTTTCTCTTCCACCTTGCTGATGATACCTGCCTGTTTCTCTCTGTTGCTTCCCTTTACAGATATCTGCAGGATCCACAGGTTCTCTGGAGAAGCCATTGGCCCCAAAAGCCCACATGGAAATACCATCTGCACCCAGAGATACTCCTCATTCCTTTCCTTCCAAGTTCACTCCAAAGCCAAGTGGAAGCTTATCTTTCAAGCCCCCTGGAGCAGATTTGACCCCTGCCCCAACCCCATGGGCAGCTCCACAGCAACGCGTGGAGCCCCTAGCACCAGTCCCTCCACCCCCCTCTCTCCCTCCTGCTCAGACTACCCCTAAATTCACCCCACCCCCTGTTGCTGGCTCTCCTAAGTCTGGGTCCAAATCAGGTGCCAATGTTCCCATGGCTCCCTCAAACTCTACAAGATATCCTACCTCCCTTCAGAGTCAGTTCACATCCCCTTCACCTTCAGGTCCCTCCTCTCGGCCACAGCCTCCCAATTTCACCTATGCCCAGCAGAGGGAAAGACCCCAAGTGCAGGAGAAGCCACGTCCCACAGAACAACCTGCTGCTGCAAAAGACATGGTAAGGGATAAAGCCATGGGACCAGTGTCTTTGGACAGGCATGGCATCACTGGGAGTGGAGTTGGAGGATGGAGGGTCTGTCCCAGGCTAGGGGAAGCTGTTACCCATCTGAAAGAGAGATGTAACTAGAGACAGTGGTGGAGAGTGACAGGACTTCATGTAAAGGTGGAAAGAAACAGGCATGGTGGATGGCAGATTGTTCCCTAGAGGGAGACAGAGAGAAGGTGGGAGAAGTAGGTTTAAATTAGGAACAGGGCGGGAGGGAGTCTGTATGTGTCCTTTGGGATTGAATGTTTCCTCTTCCTGCAGCATAGACCTGCAGGTTCCAGTGCAGATCCACCTAGGGGAAACTCCTGTCTGACCATGAAGGAGGTAGAAGAGCTGGAGATGTTGACCCAGAAACTAATGAAGGATATGGAGCATCCGCCCCCAGCAGAGGCTGCTACTTCTGGTGCGTTCCCTCAGTGGACAGCAGCAGGACTAGGACTGTGGTGGGTTTTCCTCTCTCGTAAGCCCTTTCTTCTTCCATCGACAGAGCTCTGCGGCTTCTGCCGGAAGCCACTGTCGCGAACCCAGCCAGCTGTGAGGGCCCTGGACTGCCTTTTCCATGTGGAATGCTTCACCTGCTTCAAATGTGAGAAGCAGCTGCAGGGGCAGCAGTTCTACAATGTGGATGAGAAGCCCTTCTGCGAGGACTGCTATGCTGTGAGTCACTGGGATGAAAGCTGCTGGAGAGGGCTGAGCTTGCAGTGGTTGCCCTGTTGCTTTCCCTTCCTCCTTCCATCTTGCCTGTCTGTGGTGTAGCCTCCCAGGGGTGAGGGATTGGATTAATGTGTCTTACTTGTTTCCTTTGGGTTCAGGGGACCTTGGAAAAGTGCAGTGTGTGCAAACAGACCATCACAGACCGGATGCTGAAGGCCACTGGTAATTCATACCATCCCCAGTGCTTCACCTGCGTGATGTGCCATACCCCTCTTGAGGGGGCCTCTTTTATTGTGGACCAGGCCAACCAGCCTCACTGTGTGGATGACTACCACAGGTATGGAGAGAGCATGTGCATGTGGTGTCTGAAAGAAGGCAGATTCCCTCATAGCTGTTTAATTTTGCTGTAGTATGGGGTTGGGTTGCCCATGTGGTCTGTTGGACATGAAGTTAAAAATGAGTCATCAATGTACCTTGTAGAAATTAAGGTCTTTTCCCACCTAAACTTCTTTGTCACTTATTCCTCTGCTGCTAATACTATTGTACGGCAGTGAGAAAACTGCATTGAATGCCACTATGGTGGTCATGGGTCTCCTCTATATTTTTGTGGGTTGCAGGAAGTATGCTCCACGCTGCTCAGTCTGTAGTGAGCCTATCATGCCAGAGCCCGGAAAGGATGAGACAGTGCGTGTGGTGGCATTGGAGAAAAATTTCCACATGAAATGTTACAAGTGTGAGGTAAGCCTGGTGGCCCCACTCCTCCCATCTTTCCCATTCCCATCACCAGCAACTGAGCACCTTTGTTGTCTGTCCTGACCAAACACTAAGATTGTTTTGAATGAGTCTGGAGCATTTTGAAGCAGGTTCAGAAAAACATGAGACATGGACCATAGGTCCCTGAACAGGGACTGTGCAGGGCTGTAGTCTCTAACATTCCTAATACAACAGCTGTGTATATAGGAGGAACATGAAGGAACTTGCTCTTCCCTCAAAATAGCATTTCCTGCTAGCACCATCAGAGACAGAGCAGTGGGCTGTGAGCCATTATCCTGATCCAGTGGAGCATTTCTTACATCCTTGAATGCATTTACCCTGCTGTTGCCTGTCACTGAGTTCCCTCCCTTCTGTCCCTGTTTAGGACTGTGGGAAGCCCTTGTCCATTGAAGCAGATGAGAATGGGTGCTTTCCACTGGATGGGCATGTGCTGTGTATGAAGTGTCACACTGTTCGTGCCAAAACAGCACGCTGAGGAGCTTGGAGTGGGCATACCCTCGAGACCCCTGCACTCAATACTCTTCCCCTCCCCGCCATTGTCCTCTCCCTCTGCCTGACAAGGCAGATTGCTACCAATGGAGACTCTGCCAGCGCAGTTCTTTACTCATGTAGGACTCACTGCTCCTAGATGTCACTCTGCACACCCACCACGAAAGGACCTCTTCTCCTGTTGCCACTTCATGGCCACAATGTGTTCCACACTGGGGGCTGTGGTCAAGGTGAGTGCAAAATATCTGTTCCCTTAAGACTCTGGAGGAGAAAGACCAGACCTCCACCACCGCCTGGTGGAAGTAGCAAGAATGACCTGGTGGCAGGTGCTGGAAGGGCTGAGCATTCTTCTGTTCAACGGAGCCAAGAACAATGATTTGACCTTAGAAGGTGGAAGCCTCCATCTCGGCACCACTTCTGTCTTTGATTTTATCTTCTTTTTTTTTTTTTTTTTTTCTCTTGTGCCACCTCGTTATCAGGATGTCTTCCCCTGCCCCCTCCCTCACTTCTAGGTTAGAGTGTGGAGGCAGAACATATTGGAAATCTCTGTTATCGTTGCTGGAAAAAGCTAACCTACTATAGCTTTTCTGTCTCTAATGGATTTTACTGGCTAACTGTCTTGTCACTTTTTTTTCCTTAGCCAGATTAAACTGGCAATGTTTGGAATCCTACTCTGTTCCTGAGTTTGGAAACTTTTTTTTTCTCTTAAAATTTTTTTCCCTCCCCAAAATGAATCATTTCCCAGTGTGGTTTCTGGACAGCCAGGCTGGGCACCAGAGTAGCAAAGCAGTCCAAAGAATGCATGTTTACAAATAAAGGCTGTCATAAGGACGGGCAGCACATGGTAAGGAGGCATCTCAGTGAATGGATGAGGATTCAGCAGACTGAGGAACGTCTCCCTGTTTCCAGTAGGGATGCTTTCACTGCTGTCAGTGAAAGCTGCAGTGTGATTGCAATGTACTGTCTGGCTCTAAGTGTTACTGCACTGAGCCCCGTTTCCTGGACTAGAAAATCTCAAACTGAACAAACCTTTTGAATAAGTACACTGTCCAACCACTGTTTGCATTCAATAAAATGTGGGTTTTTTCCATTAAGGTGTGTCTGCTGTATTTGTTCAACTACCCATGAGAACTGCTGTCTTAAGCAGTAGAGAATGTATGTATAGTTGCTATTCCACCTAGCCTCCAGAGATGTTGTCTGAAAATGGCCTTTCTCTCTCCACCTCTTGGTCTCCTTTTCAGACTGTTTAGTTTCCTGCTTTTGTGTGTCTGAAGAGTAGCTCTCATTTAAAGCAGTGGAAGACTGCATTTCAGCAAGATTGTAGTCTGCTTAATGGTGTCACTGGGAGGCAGGTTATTACAATCCACTTGCATCAGACTGGAATGAAGTGGTCATTTTGCTTGCTTTGCCTTAACTATTGCTACTCAGAAAGTGTTTGTGCTTGATGTTTATGGTTTTAGGCATGGTATTGTCTTGGTCACTGCAGGTGAAGCTCCTCTTTGTGGTAAGCATCAATGCTTCTACACTTCAAAGACATGAAATGTCTCTTGCTCTCTTGCCAGTTTTGGGGAAATCTTTAATGACTCCTTGCAAATTGATCCAGTAAATGATTTGGGGTTTCCTATAGGATGAGCAAAGAAGAAACAAATTGTACATTTGCTTTCTTTTTCTTACCTTTCTTGCTTGTTTGTAGACATTGTTTTGAGTGATTGTTTCTAGATTATGTGATTAAAAGCTCATGCCCACAAACACCAATGAGCACAGAGAAGAGAAACAATGGGGGGGAGGGGAGAGAAGCACTCTAACCTAGCTCCTCCCAGAGCTATCAGAGGACTATAGCCCCTGTGTCTGAGTATGACACCTGTCCAGCAGAGTCAGTGGGAAGGAATCTCTGGATCACCTTGCAGATTAAGGGGAGGTTAGTCCCTCTGAGGGGCATGGGGTGCAGGGGAAGAGCATTTGGGGACTATAACACTTGTTACGGGATGTGTAAGGACAAGATCAAAGGCGGGAAAAGGGAGTGTTTGAGGAGAGGAAGCAGCATGGGAAAACTGGGGAGGGGGGAAGGGCACAGAAGGGGTCAGGCTGCATGTACACAGTACACTTGTCTGGCCATGCCCTGTGTGTCGTTACTGCAGTCTGTCCTGATTTCTTACTAAACTTTTTTTTTCCCCCTTCTTCCCCCCCCGCCCCCCACTGTGTGAAGGGACTCTGTTCAGTGTTTGTGGAGGTCTAAGTGCCAGCAACTGGAAATACCTGAGTGCATGCATATTGTGTGGGTGTGTATGTCCATGCGTAATCACTAGCAAAAATCAAGTCAGAGTAGCTGGTGAGTGAGGAGGGTAAGAGACTTGAGAGCCATGAGTTGGCATGGCTGAGTCTACCCAGATGCTGGAAAGACCAGTGTAAGAGTCAGCAGCTGGAGCTCCCAGGAGGTCCAAGCCAGCTACTCTTGGGTCTGGAAGTCAACTACTGGTAAGCCTGGACCAGCTACCAGAGAACAGGTTGCACCTGTGTGTGAGGTGACTGGGAGACCAGGGAATCCTGGGGTCAGCTGCTGGGTAGAGCCAATGTCTAAGGCTAATTACCGGTGGGCTCCCGTGTGTGCGCACACGCATGCATGAGGGGTCCGAGTGCTCACCACCGGAGTGGAGCTGCAGGCCTCAAGGACTTGTATGTCCTGGTGCTAGCAACTGAGGAGAACCAGCTCAGGCTCCAGATTGTGGAGCCAGCTACTAGAGGACTGCTCTTAGACACTAGAGGGATCCATAGTATATACGTATGTATTTCCCCTGTAACAGGTTCATCCTGATCAGCCGGAGGAGGGAATACGATCAGGCTGTTTTGTGCTGTGCTTGCATGACTGCTGTGTTTTCTCCCTCAGGCCAGTCATATGCAATGCGTATGCGTATATATACATGCACATATTATACACATGTATATTTTGTGTGCATGAGTGCCTATTGGGAATACATGCTCATGATTGCTACTGGCTGTACCTGAGGACATAGAACTGAGCAGCCTCTTCTCTGTCAGGCCAGCTGATTCAGCAGCTCCTCACAGTTGAAGTTGGAAGGGACCTCCCTGCTCAGAGCAGGGTCAACCGGAGCAGGTTGCTCAGGAATGTACACTGCCAGTTTTTTAATACCTCCACAACCTCCCTGGGTAACCTGGTCCAGTGTTTAACAATTCTCATAGTAAGTTTTTTCTTGCCTTCAAATGGAATTTATTCTATTTTGATGTGTTCCCACTGCTGCTTCTCCTTTCACTGGATACTGCTGAGGAGAGCCTGGCTCCCTCTTCTCCACTCCCTCCCATCAGGGATTTATACACAATAAAAGAGCCACCCAAACCTTCCTATCTCGAGGCTGAACAGTCCCAGCTGTCTCAGCCTCTCCTCGTATGTCAGATGCTCTGATCCCTTCAAAATCATAGTGGCCTCTCGGTGGACTTGCTTCAGTAAGTCCATGTCCTTCTTTTTACTGGGGAGCCCAAAATTGGACAGAACGCTCTGGATGTCTGACCAATGATGAATAGAGGGGAAGAATCGCCTCCCTCCAGCTACTGGTGATGCATTTGCTAATGCAGCCCAGATACCGTTGGCCTCCTTTGCTACAAGGGCACATAACTGGCTCAAGTACAGCTTGCTGTTCACTATGACCTGCAAGTCCTTTCCCACAAAGCTGCTTTCCAGCTGGTCAGCACCCAGCATGTACTGGTGCATGGGACTGTTCCTCCCCGGTTGCAGGGCTCTGCATTTCCCTTTTTTCAACTTCATGAGTCTCCTCTCTTCCCATTTCTCCCATCTGTTAAGGTTCCGCTAAATGGCAGCACAACTATCTGATGTATCGACCAGTCCCAATTTTCTGTCATCTGCAAGAATAGGCTGAAGTTTACATGTGCATGACACAAGCTCATCATCTTGTGTCAGCCTCATCAGGGCTTATCTTCTAGCCTGGATATCTGCCGTGTAGCAACTTCATTACCAATACTTCATGTTAAAGACACCTATTACTAAGATTGAACTTACTGATACACTAAAAAGACTCACAGTAAGAGCTTGTCATATTGGCTGTATCTCTTACTATAGTCGCAGTGACTTGAGCAGCTGAGGTATGTGTATAATGTGGTTCCTTGTGTATACTGCTTCTCGTGATGAATAGAAACTAGCCTTCTTGCTTTAAGTTGCAGTTCTTTAGATCGCTGCTTCTTAACCCTTCTGTCATTTATGGCTAAGCAAGACCTTTCCAGGAGCAGGAGTGTTAATTTATAGCCTTAAGAATTTGGAGCATTATGCAATTACAGAAACAGTGATAGCTATCTACAGCAAGTAACTGATTGCTGAAGGGCTAGCACTCACCTCCTTCACCAACCTAGACTTAGCTCAAGCACTGAAAAATAAATCTTGAGGTGACTACTATTCACAGGTAGGAGAAAGTCTTAGGAACATCAGAGTGAGGTCTCAATCATATTTGAAATAAGCCAAAGAACTCAAACACAGCCTGCTCTGCCACAGGTTTATTTACAAAATATTATTTACAGTCTATAACTGTCTTGAGCTCTGATAAATAATAACATTTCCTCCACAGAGAAGGAATAAGACAGACCACCTACAGGTTTTTCTGTTACAAATACCCTATCCAGCCACACAAGAATATTCTCTCTTTTGAAAAGGGGCAGAGAAAAAGGGGTACCTAAAGGGTTTTCTGTCCATGGCAGAAGTAAAGGTATTAAGCAGGTCAGAGAGATTTAAATCTCCCTGCTGAAGTGTGCATGTGCAAAACAGCAACATGCTGAGGTTATGTGATCACACAAGTTACAGCAGGGTGTGCTGCTACTCCCAACTTCTTCTCCAAAGTAGTACACCATGAGTTGGTGTTTAAGGCAAGAATAGCTGAATTAAAAAATATATCCCTTACCAGCAGTCCTGTGAAAGACTGAATAGTTTGTTCCTGTTGTGAAATAAGGAAGACGGAAGGCTGCTGACTGAGAAGGGATGTATGCCAGGAA